CAACACAGACGTTCCCTGCTAGTTTCCCCAACTAAATCTTCCTTATTTTTACTAATATAACTTAGGTTGGATATTGCGATATTTTGTTGCTGCTGTTTCTTGAGCCATTAATCCACAGTACATTCTTGATTTCTTGTAAATTGTACAGAAGTTGCCAGTAGATTCAGATCTAGTTTTTGCCAACCCTGGATTAAGTAGTAATTTTTCTCCTGAGCTTCTTTAATATTTTCAATACATCTCTTAACTATTCTTTCTGCTGCAAATTAAAGGTTGGTTCTACTGCTGGTACCTTTAGCAGTCACTGCTGTTTGTCTTTCTCATCCTTTCTGCCATCTGTTTGTTTGCCAAACCAAATACTAACAAGGGAGCAGGTACTGACAGCTAGCTCTTTCTTGTGCTATTTGCTTGCTTGCAGTTATGGAGATTGTAGTGGTAAAAAGAAAAGAGGCAGGTCCAAATGGCCAGAAATATAATTGTAATCTTCATTGTTAGATCAGAATAAAAGTTATATGCGAGTTTCATGTCTGGAAATTAAGCAAGGGGTTATCATTTCTTCCTCCCCCTCTAAGAATCTTTAAGTAAAAAAGACAATGCATGACAAAAGATCACTTCATTTCAAAACAAATCCAGGCCAAGTATGAAAGATGCATCTCTTAAACTACTGTGAGCAAAATCTTGCCTTGGCATCATTGTAATCTTAGTACCTAACCTATTTCTGGATTACTAATGCTGTGCTAAGTAGCTAAACATAATTCTTCGCTTTGTATGAGCAGTTCCTGTCCTTAGCAGCAGCGTAGCCTGTTTTGTTTATGACTATCCTGCCAATATTAGGACTTTCTGGTCTCCCCCCACCCCCCGGTCATAAATCCTAAAACAATATAGAGGATAAGTCACAGACGTTTTCCTTTTAAAGAATACTTTGCCTGAGTATTCCTAAAGAATAACTACCAGATACTTTTCCTTGTTTGTTCTGTTTATGTCCATATTAACAACCAACCATAAAACTACAATTATTTAATAATTAAAAACTTATTGAAAGTGACTCCCTTGTCTGCACTTTGACATGCAGAGAGAGCAGGGGCCAAACACATTCTTCAGCCTGGGAGTGATGCGGGAAAATGCTTTCTGCAACATGCTGGGATTTAGAAAGCAGTTGACAAGGGTTTGCATCTCTGTTCCAGCAACAGACATTTATAGTCATAGTAAGAATGCCTCAGGCTCTGATTCTGAAAGTATCCATAATATGACAAGCAAGACCAGACTTGACAGATTGTTGCTGAGGCTGTAAAAGTAGAAGTGGCTGGCTCTTGTGTTTGAAATGCTGTTTAATGTGAAGGATTGTTCTGGTTGTATATAAAGACAGATAAGCAACATGTATTGTTTGCTGTATTTTAGGGGAAGATAAGCCACTTTGTAGAGTTAGTGAAGTTATTTCTAATCTTCACAGACAGTATGTAGTAAACATAAGGCATTGGGAAGCTAATAGCATGAAAAAATCGTTCAGGCACCCTCTCTTTTTCAGTGTAGAAGGGTCATTTTGCTGGTTAGAATTGTTAAATTCAGATATACCCAAACTTAGGATGAGATTATTCAGTTTTAAACTATTATCACTCTGGTGTTTTGTTTTCTCCTACTAGCCTGTTTTAAACCTTATCATTCTCTCCTTTCATTCCTAACAGGCATCAGTTTATTTTTGTATCTATAGCAAATATATAGACCCAGTATTCACACCCATTTATTACAGATATGATCATAGTTGATAGTAAGAAAATTGCTTGATGTTTTAAGTAAGTGAAGAGCTATTATAAGTTGACCTTTTAAAAAATGTGATTGTTTCCATCACATGTCTCTTTCCTTTCAGGTCGAAACCTCTCTTTGCTGATGGCTTCTTTGTAGTTATATCAAAACTTTGGTAAAAGAGATATTAGCTTTCTTTATGAGCAGAAAAGCATATGTTTCCAGGAAAGGGAGGAATGTCCAACTCAAAGAGTGATTTTATTTATGTATTAAATTTTTAAAACAGCCCAAGAGCTGAAGCTCTCTGGGTGGTTTACAATAAAACACGCTAAAAATACAGTCTGAATAAAAACATATAGATACATTCAAAGAAAACACAAACTAAAAAGACTGTATAACTGAGAAGGCTCATTGTACCTATCTCCTGAAGAGTTGGGCCCCACCACATGATCTGTCCATTGGTTCATTTTGAGCGAGAATATTCTACATGAAGTAAATGGTCTTGAAGGTGCTCAAGAACCAAGCCTCCTACTTGCTTTAGTTTTTCACCATTTATGTATAACTTGCAGATGTATACTTAATTTATCTTCCAAACACATTTTTCTCACATTCATACATTTCTCAAATAAATCAGCGACAGCAAAAATCTGATCTGCACATCTGCTCCATAGGATAAAGCCTCAGTGAAATTTCCAAATGTTGCTTGTTGTCAGCTCTTATAGACTTTCAGTGAGAATTCTACCAAACGTCTTCCCTAGCACACATAGGATTAATTTCTCGAATTTTTTGCATTCTGTTGCTATCTTTCCCTTTGTATAAGGGAACAATAACTGTATTCTTCCAGTTCCAGGCACAGGCAAAGTTTTCACACTCATGTTAAACAAGTCACACAACCACTATAAGCAAACCACATTCATATTTTAACATTTTGCCAGGCACACCACCTATAGCTGCAACTTTAGCATTTTTCAGTGTTCTAGCAGCATTTCTCACTTCTTTTTCATAGTTTTTCAAGGGCAGTAACTTTGATTTCATTCATTTTGATTCCACTCTGCATATCATCCTTCATATACAAATCTCTACAATACTCCTTCCAGCATTCCCTCATTTCAGTTTAACCCCAAGTAATTTCATAATTTTTATTTGTAATTCCATTCACTCTGTTGGAGGCTCCTCATTTAGCTGTTTTCATCCACTAATGAAACTTTTGTTTTTACTTCCATCAAATCTTTGCATTTTTGTACCTTCTAAAACTGTTCCTTGCTCTTTGACTACATTCTTTGCACTTACCATTTTCTCTGTATACACGGCATAGAATATCTTTCAACATATTTTGCAACAGTTGTTCTCTTACATGGAGTTATCTGTGGTCATTCTTTTTTACTCTTCTTTCTTTCACTTCTTTCCTTTACTGAATGTATCCTTCATTCAGAAATTAACATCACCCTTGTATTTCCCACTGATTTTCTCATCAAGAGTGGATTTATCATTCTAATCCACTAGATCAGAACATCATTATATCCTCCTTTTTTTTAGTGTCTCCAACTCACAACATATCTACATTTCTTTCAGTTCAGTTCAGTTCAATTCCATTCAATTCAGTTCACTTCATTCAATCATGCACACATTCATTTATTCATGCTCTTTACCATTTACTTCTCTTACATTCCAAGTCACAGTCTTCCACATACCATTGTTTTCACTAGTTGGGCCCATAAATATTGACCATTGCTGCCCATCATTGTTTGGTGAATTAGTAAAATAAGAAAAGAGAAGGAGTACCTTGTTTACTAGCTTTAATTGTACCCATACCCTGTGCAGCATTCTCTATTAACAGAAAAGATAGTATTAATCAGTTTAGGCACATTTGGCCAAAACATAACAATACAACAAAACTTTGATTTAGTAGACCTTCACATGCAGTGGACCAGATTATGGCATTTGTGTAATTGCTTCATTATACAGATAATTAAAAGGACAGCATTTGAATTGTGTGTATTTAAATGTTGTAAATTGCTTCAGTGATGTACTTTTATATTTAATGCAGATTTATGAACAACAAACATCCTCTCCCTCCCAATTAGTCTGTTAAAATGAAGTTTCATTGTCTGCATGGTTTAGTTCAGTGTGTTACTAGACTTATATCTGTGATCTTGGGTAGGCAATTCTGTCTTAAATAATCAAAATAGCTAAGGTCTATCTAAGCTGTCATGAGCATCTTTTTGCTAAAATTCTAGATATCTGCCAGGTCTGGGTGGAGTTTGATTATGCTCCAGCTCAGTTCCTCCCTTGCTTGCCCCTTTTCCAGCCCTTTTTCTGGGGGGTGGGGTGGGGGAGGCTTTTCTACTGATATGTGTTCTGTTGTCTGGTCCTGAAATTAGCTGGAAAGTCAGATTTGTGCCTCAGCCTAGCTTTCATCTGCAGACACATTTTGAAGTTAGAGTTGTGCTATAAGCTAACAGTCCTAATTTTTTCCCCCTGCTTTTAGCTGTGCTTCCAGAATTTACATTTTTTAGGCAGCCTATCTAAATAAACTTTTATTTGTACACTGTTTTTAAACTGATAAGTATCTGGAGTTTTTAATTACTGGAGTCATGAGTGAAACTAAATTTTTGCTAGATGGATAGTTTACCCTGACAGTATTGACCCAGCACTGATTATTGCATAATATAATACTGTATGCATACACTTAGAACTAAGTTTCATGTGTATGCATAAAATATCAGGAGATGGGAGAAGGTCTTTCATTAATTAGCTTTTGGCATGAAGCTCACTTGCAAGGTTTTTTGTCTCATTGCTTTTGAAAGCTATTAATGTTGCCCCTCCTCTCATAGAGAAATGCTTATTCAAGTAATATAAAAATGTGTAAATTGCTCTAAAGTATTGTGGTGATGACAGCCAGTAATGATTAAAAAAAAAAAAAACCCTTAGATTTATGCTTTTAAAGAATTGCTGGGAAGCCAGAAATGAAAGTAAAGCACAGTGGTGGAAAATGATCTTGACTAATGGGACATTGTTGAAATACTGATTAATTTATTGGAGTTGTGTATATGTTGGAAGTCCTTTGAAATTATCCTATTGCTCAGAGTATTCATGTATTTCTGTGAAAAGGGTATACCTCTTCTCATAAAGTAATTAAAGAGAAGGAAGGATTCATCCTTTCCCAAGAATAAATACAGCTAGTGGGAGTTTCTAAACATAATGCAATTCTTTTAATTCAGATACCTGAACCAAATTTCTTAACCATTTTGTTTTGTTTTTAGGAAATCTATCTACTTTGAAAAGTCTTGGTCTGAGGTATAACCGTCTCTCAGCAATACCCAGGACTCTAGCACAATGCAGTAAACTTGATGAGTTGAATTTGGAAAATAACATTATTTCTACTTTGCCAGAGGTAAGACACTTGAGATGAAGTAGGAGTCTCTGTAATAAAAATAAATCATTCACTTTGATTAAGGTGAAATAAAAGCTACTTCATCAAAAATTGTGTAAATTTATGATACTAAACAAAAGCCTTCAGGACAGAATTTGCTTATTTATTTTATTAAATTTATAAGCCACCTGGTTCTATTGTGGCTTCATTATGTTAGCCTAAGTTTGAAAAGTAAAGAGTCTGTGAGAGTAAAAGAAAGAGGCTTTTGTTTTATTTAGTATTGCCAAAATGACATACTGAGTGATTGAGATCTAAAGTTATGAAAAGTTTCCAATTTAGTGCCTGTTATGCTGTTAAAGTGTACAGACCCCCATGAGTTGACCTTCATTTCATGCAGGTTTCTTGACAATGTACAAATACATTTAAAACATTAAAAAGGGCAGTGGTAAAAACTGATTAAAATAAACCAAGATAATATCAGCAAAAGTAAAACCAGTGGCAGGATTAAAAATAGTGTAGCATGTACATCAAAGTAAACTAGTAGCAAAACATTGTGAAAACTAAAAGCCCTTTAAGTAGTTCTTAAAACCTTATGTGGCTACAAAGTGAGGAACACTGGAATTGAAATGGCTTCCTATCTTGTAGCCTGCAATATAACATTAACTCCATGTCAGATAGAACTGGCAGAACTGTCTAGTTGCAAGATTTCCATCTGATGGTTTCATTTGGAATGGGGAGGGGGGAGGGAAGAGCACAACATGGCTGCCATAATATGCCCAAGTTTTAGAAAGGCAGATTGTTGATAATAAAATCTGAAAGAAAAATAAGTGGCAAAAGAAGCTGAATTCAAGAAAGAGAAGGAGTCTGAGCCTCAGCATACAAAACTACTATTTGTAGAAAGATAAATTGAGATTGCAAGATTAATAATTTGATTAGTTCATCAAAATATGTCAGAAGGTATACCCTAAAATTAAATCTATCTCTTTGAACCCACTGTTCTCTCTTCTATTCAGGGTCACTTGCCTCGAGATCCCTCTGTCACACTCCTAGTGTGTTATTCATTTATGTCTTTCACTTTCCTCCAACATATGTACAGAGCACTTCCCTCTGTTCTTTTCTCATCCAGATTGAGTTGCCCCACAGCCTCCCTCCCCCTCTAGTCTCCTCTGTATCTTAGCTCCAGTCACCCCAATTCTCTAGGTTATCTCCAGCTCTCCCTCTCCCCAGTTGTTATTCCTTAGCCTTTCTTGTTACCACACAGTGATACAGGTTGTCCTCGTTTAGTGACTGCCTTGTTTAGTGACTGTTTGCAGTTATGATGATAAAAAAGTAACTTTATGATCAGTCCTCATATTTCCGACCTTTGCAGATCTGTAAAGCAAAGGAAAGCTGAAGTAAGATCATAAACACAGTCACTGTTTCACTTAATGACTGCTTCGCTTAATGACTGAGTTGCTGGTCCCAACTGTGGTCATTAAACAAGAACAACCTGTATTGGAGTCAGATACTTACTTTTCCCCCCTCAAATAGAGGCCTTCAAAGCAAAATGTAACCCTCCAGCTACTCATCATAGTTGCTTCCAAATAATATACCAAGTTTATTTGGAATATTATTATTCCAAATAATATAGCTTTATTCTGGAGATTGAAGATGGCCACCTATCATCTACCAGTACTTCACTTCAAAGCACTTTACTCTCCCATAGTAAAGTTTGAAATAAAAATACATAGATCAAAATAAATAATTATAGATGAAACAAGAATTCATTAGGATACTTTGGAAACACATTAGGAGGTGTCCCTGGGTGTGTTGATGACCCTAGATATAAGTGTCCATTTCTTAGTTACAAATTTACACTAGTATTGCAATATAAGAAGGATGTGAAAATGTTTAGTCATGATTCTTCGGGTGGAACTTGTAATTGTTCAGTTTATGGTTCAGTTCTAATTGCATAGAATCAAAAAATATAAAAATGTGTATTTACTCATTTACATTCCATTTGCACAAAAACAATGTAGGGGAAGAAATCCCACATGATAATTGATTGTAAAGTTACTTACACATTTGTGTAGCACAAATAAATATGTATGAATATTTCAGTTTAATGTGATATATAATGTTGATATGAATTATTGGAATTGGCATTGAATGAAAAAAGCGATCTAGAAATAAGAGGGCACTGAAATCTATCAAATATCATAAATGATTAATATTAAAACTGATTGGGTATGAATAAATATTGCTTGAAGTCTTTGCTAATGGAAGAAAGTTGCTTAGTAGTTAATCTTCCCTCCCAAGAACATTACAAAAGTTACTTAAGTGTAATTAAACATACAAAAGAGACTGACTGGAAACCAGATTGCTTTATAAATGGCTCCCAATCTAAAACACCCTTAACAAATAGAATTTTGCATTTTTAAGTGCTGGTCTGTGTACAATTTGTAATGGTTGCTGAAGAGAGCCACTTACTTGTTAGTGTAGTAGTATAATCCATTAAAGCATACCTCTTTGGCTGTGGAAGAAAGAAAATGCATTTGTAAAGAAAGCTGCAGAATTGCAAAATACGCCAAGTTTTTGATGATGAAATGCCTGCCGAGTAAACATATCTTAATATTAGCTTGGAAGAGGTGGTTATCCAACTCAATTCATAAATTGTGTGTATTGGGATTCTTTTGAAAAGAATGCATTCAACTTTTAATTCTTAAAATACTGGTGCATTTGAAAAGACATATAATGAATGTACTATGGTAGCCTTGAGCAAATTTTGGGAAACACTCAAGATCCCCTGAAACGTTATCTATGCAAAGCCTTCACTGTAGTTTTGGAGTGAACAGCTGTATATCCTACTCTGCATTTAGAGTGAATAATATTTTTTCTTAAAAATGATATTATTAAATGATTAGCATTTCATATGCTTAATATCTCTGCATCCTTTAAAGTTATAAATTTTAAAATTGAAGCAAAGATAATATAATTTTCTTGGCTAAAGTTATGAATTATTCTCCCCCTAACCTAGTGCCCTCAGACATTAGAATTGGAACAACCGGAATTCCCAGCCAGTGGGGCAATTCAAAAGAGTTGCAAGTTTTTCTGTCTCCTGTTCCTTTATTATATGGGATGCTGTACCTACTCCTTAAATTGCTTCCGGAGAATGACTTAATTTTTGTTTTGTAAAATATGTATTTGGTACCTGTCTGCAAGTGGGTAAAGTAAAACTTCTCAGAAGTTGGGCATTCTTTTTAAATATTTAACAAATGGCTAGGATATGGTAGGAATTTGTCAGAAATGCAAACATCGCAGCTATTTAAAGGTATCATCAAAAGCAGAAAACATCAGTCTTAAAGACATTATCAATCGGAGGTATATGCCTTGAATTATCAATGTTTCAAAAGTTAATTTAAATTCACAGAAGGAAAGCATTTCACATTATCTTCCTTGTATTTCCTGTGACTTTCAGTACTTTCCTTTAAAGCTTCAGGAGGCCTTTCTGAGCAATGTGAAATGATACATATATGTATATGCATGTGTGTCTTTAGTGAACTTCCTTAAGGCAATATATCATGATCCAAACTGAATCGGGGCAGCTCCCACCCCCCAGATATTCTGCCTTTCTGCATTTTTTTAGAGGCCTAATTATCCTACAGAAATTTTTCACAAGACAAAGGTGATTAGATATAGAAATATTCTTCTGTGAACATTACATTAATTTATTGAAAGATCCAAACTATTTCTGAGATTCTGGGCTTGCCTTAGGATAATGATTCTTCCTCCCTAGCAATCCTCAGCATGAAGCCCTATATGGTTTTGGAGGATCCTCCAAGCTGCTTGAGTGTATGTATGAGGAGCAGGCATAAGAATAGTGAACATGATAAAAAAAGAGAATGTCTCTTCAAGATGCTGCCTGCTACCCACAGTTTTTAAAGTCCTTGTATTTAAAAAGATAACCAAGTTGTTTCAGTCATGCCTGGGTAAGGGCAAGGAAGGAAGTTCATTAGTTAATCTATATACCTAACTGATTATTTGATGAATCATTGCAGTTCTATGAAGAACTGCAGTTTTTGATTGCAACAACTCCAGCTATAACTTTGAATGGAGAATGCATTGTATCAGTCGAATGAACTCAAAGCACAATTGTTCTGATACTGGTTTTCACAAAAAATAGACAAGCTGAAAAATGTTAACTTTCTTAAAATAAAGATGAATAAATAAAATAGGAATATGAAAAGCCTAGAATGATTAATTTTATCACTTCTGATATTGTTATATAGTGAAGTGTTCCATGTTCTTGTTGCCCCAAGTTTATTTTGAGTCATTATTTTGCAGAAATAATGTATTAGTAATTTGCTAATTTAATGAGTGTTTTCTTTAAATGACAGACATTAAACATATGTGCACTTGCAAAAATACATATACAACTACTGTACAACCTCTATTGCTTCTTCACATAAGTTTTGGGCCCAATTCTGCTTGCAGCTCATTGTGTCTGTACAGATTAACTGAATTAAACATGGAAGCCCCTGCTTATTTGAATATTTCATCTGTATTTAATATTCTCTGGAACTTTGAGTCAAACTGATGGCATAGAACAGGTATATGAAGTAAATGCTTGTAAAGACAAGTGAAAAAAATTATGCATATTGCCATAGTAAAGTTTTTGAACAGACCATGACTGTTAGACTGCATGTAAGAGATAATATCTATTCAAATACCAGGAGATTTAGAGTATATAAAGCATGTAATTTAATTTGTTCACTTTGCTCTCACAGGGTCTGTTATCCAGTCTTGTGAATCTGACTAGTCTGACTCTGGCAAGGAACTGTTTTCAATCCTATCCAGTGGGTGGCCCTTCACAGTTCTCTACTATCTACGCTCTCAATATGGAGCATAACCGCATTAATAAAATTCCTTTTGGAATCTTTTCTAGAGCAAAAGTATTAAGTAAGCTGAACATGAAGGTAAGGCTTTGTTTCAGGAATATGAATTTTCTGGTGTAAAATAAAATGTTGTATGAAATGGCAGCCAAATAGAGTTGTGGCAGATACCATGGATACCTGATACTATAGGATGAATTTCCCAGGATTAATTGTAAAGTAGTATGAACATTCTCCTTCATGGATCACTGCCTTGTCGTGGTGAAGGGGCTTGCGTAACTCAGTGAAGCCAT